AGGCTCCAGGCTCTGAGCCATCAGCCCAGAGCCTGACGCGGATTAATCACCTCTTTAAGGGGCTGACTCCAAATACAGTCACATTCGGAGGTGCTGGAGGCGAGGGCTTCGGCATGTAAGTTGAGGGGGAGCAGTTCAGTCCGTGACAGGTATCTTTTCCTTCTCATACCTCCGTTTTCTTCCCATGTGATCTCATCCACTCATTTTGCCTCTGTGGATTCGTTGCCTCCGAATTCGTACCCCTGGCCTCAAGACTGCTTCTTTGAACTCCGGCCCCATAGACCCAACTACTTCCTGCCTCAGGACTTCCATAGACACTGCTCCTACCCGGCTGGATCACTCTCCTCTCTTTAACTGGCTAGTTCTTCCTCACAGTCCCCACTTGGGACTTGCAATCGTTTGCATGTAGACTGGCTCTTCCGTTGTGTTTTATCCAAGAGATGGGCAGCCTCATCCACCCAGTTGCGCCAACGAGAAGCCTGAGTCTCTCTCTTGAACCTCCCTTTTCCTTTATACCTCACGCAAAATTAGTGGCCAAGACTTTCCGGTCTTACCTTTGAAAGACCTCTCCAATCCACCCCCTTCTCCCTGTCTCCATTGCCACTTCCTTAGTTGTAGCTACTGCCATCAGTTCCCTGGGCCACCATATGTTTGGATAACAATCATATGTCCACTGCCTCCGGACCTTTGCACATGTTACTTGCTCTTCCCTTTTACTCTCCTCCCTCCAACACACGTTCAGAGGAAAGATTTCCACACCTTCCAGACACAGTTGGGACTTAGTGTTATACCTTCATAGAGCCTGGCCTTTTCTTTCCTCTGTAGTGATGCATTTCATCATGTGGTTATCTGATCATGCTTCTCTCCCCCACTAGACTGGAGGCTGTGTGAGAGCGAGGCTGGCGCATGGCTCACCACCGTCTCCCAAACGCTTAGCACAGCGCTTGCCACGGAGCAGGTGCCCGGTCGGTTTTTCAAATGAATAAATGAATAGCATCTCATCCGATGTTACCGTAATTTATTCAGCCAGCTGTCGATTGTTGGAAATTGAGGATTTTCCAGGTTTTCGCTTTTGGAAACAGCACCACAGTGAAGATCCTTACAGACTTATAAGATCTGTTTGCTCACATTCTCAATACTTTGGGATAAATATTACCAGTGAGCTTGCTTTGTCAGTTAAGGCTTTTAACACAAATTGTCAGTTTCTCTACCGACACGGTGTGCGCCATGAGGATTTCAAAGTGTGAAGGATGAATTAGCCCCCGTTCCTTCACCTTAACCAACTGTGGGCAATACCTTCCTTTCTTCTAAGCAGATAAGAGATGAAAATGAAAAGTGCTCCAAATGTGCAGCTCCCATTTTCTTCTAGGGCTGGAAGGTTTCATTTTTTTTTTTTAATACTGGAAGGCAGTTTATTTTATTTTATTATTTTTTTTAATTTTTTTTTTCAACGTTTATTTATTTTTGGGACAGAGAGAGACAGAGCATGAACGGGGGAGGGGCAGAGAGAGAGGGAGACACAGAATCGAGAAACAGGCCTCCAGGCTCAACCCAAGTCAGCCCAGGAAAACCCCGACGCGGGGCTCGAACTCACGGACCGCGAGATCGTGACCTGGCTGAAGTCGGACGCTTAACCGACTGCGCCACCCAGGCGCCCCTGGAAGGCAGTTTAATATTAGTATAGATTTTAGACGAATTGAACAACACCTAGTCTTCCCAGTCAGAAACTTGATACACCTTTCATTCATTCTAGGTTTTGTTCAAGCATCTCAAGAATATTTAATTTGTTTTCGCTGTGGGGGCTCTTCACTTGCTAATTAACTAATTTTTTAAAATGTTGTTCTGGGTAACCAAGAAGACGCCAAGCAGAAATTTTTCTGATAGTGTAAAAATAGTGACGCTTATTGAATAATGACACTTACAAATAATGACACTTACTAACTAATGATTTAAATGAGCGTATTCTACAGGCTTTTAGGAATAGTGTCTATCTCATCAAGAGCATTATATGGATTAAATAGATGATTGCCTAGAAGACACTCTGAACAGTGCCCAGGGACATAGTGAGCAGCCAATAAATACTAGCCTTCCTTATGATCAGATGTGTTAAAATAACAAACTTCAAGGCATTATTGAAAAAACTACCCCGCTGTAACCTCAAAATACATTGTGTACTTATTACTAGACAGCAGTGGTTAAGAAAGAGAACAAAGGATGGCCATTAAAAAGAGTTCATTAAAAGAAAATGAATTAAAAAAAAAGAATTTTTTTTTTAAAATTTTTTTTTTTTCCAACGTTTATTTATTTTGGGACAGAGAGAGACAGAGCATGAACGGGGGAGGGGCAGAGAGAGAGGGAGACACAGAATCGGAAACAGGCTCCAGGCTCTGAGCCATCAGCCCAGAGCCCGACGCGGGGCTCGAACTCCCGGAGCGCGAGATCGTGACCTGGCTGAAGTCGGACGCTCAACCGACTGCGCCACCCAGGCGCCCCCCAAAAAAAGAATTTTTAATTAATTAATTAAAAAAAAAATTGAAATCCAAATCCGTTAACATAGTGTAATAATGGTTTCAGGAGTAGAATTTAGTGATCCATCCCTTACATACAACACCCAGTGCTCATCCCAATCCGTGCCCTCCTTAATGCCCCTCACCCATTTAGCCCCCCCCAAAAAGAGTCCATTTTCAAACACGGCATTTCAAAGCCACTTTGGTAGGTATGGAGAGGTGGGATGAGGGAAGCTGAATAGGGCAATACACGCAAAAACTTCTGCGATATGAATGGCTCTCTCTGTAAAGTCAGAAAGCTTCGTAGTTTGTTTGTATTTTATATCTCCTTACGTCCTGAAAGTTACAAGCGACTTCTGTCAGCACCGCTCACAGGATGGGTTGTGCCGTTGCAGGCGACGTACGGAATGATATTTATGTCACCCTGATCCACGGCGAGTTTGACAAAGGGAAAAAGAAGACACCGAAGAACGTGGAGGTGACCATGTCTGTGTACGACGAGGAGGGCAAACTCTTAGAGGTATGGGGGACTGCCCCGAAATCCTGCTCCCATCACACACTTCTTTCCAACAACGGCGGGCTTTGACCTGACGTGGCTTGTTCCCCACAGGCACGTGCGTTGGGCTTTTCATAAGGAAAAAATAGGAAACCTGTTAAATTTGTGATTAGCAATGGCCGACTTTACTGATAAACCCACGTAGGCGCTTCTTTTCGTTGTTTCTCCTGTTCTAAGAAGTGCCTCAAGCCGCTAATGGTTTCAGGTGTATGCTTTTGCTCCAGAAGTTCTGTATCGTTTCCAAGGTATACGGCCACTTTCAAGCCTGGTAGGTTCCTGTGGGGCTTGAGCAAAGGCCCAGAAGGC